TGCTGCTGGCTGAGCTGGCACAGGAGCTGCGCAAGTCGCACCCTGCCGAGGCCAAGCGGCTGCAGCTGCTCGGCCAGCCGGACCTCGCCCTGGGCCGTAGGGAGGCAGCGGACTACGGGGCAGACCCAGAGGAGCAGAGAGTGGGTGAGTGACCCGGCGGGCCATGTGGACCGAGGGCAGAGGAGGTGACGGTCTGGGCAGTGGGGACCCCGGGTTGTAGACAGTGTGCGAGAGCCCCAAGCAGGTTGTGTGGAACAAGGGGCGGAGGGGCTGGGCGTTCTGGCAGTGTGGAGTCCAAAGTGGATGAGTGTGGGCAGGTTATTGGACCCAGGGCTGGAGAGGCTGAGTCGTGCAGCCGTGGGGCTGCCCCAACTGCCTGCCTCCTGGGTCTAAAGTCACACTTGGTTGGTATTTGCTTGGAAATAGAATGGTTTTTTTGAGAAACATGTTTAAAAAGAGAAATCAGTGTTGATTAATTAAAAACACACAAGGTTGTTTTCTCAAAGAAAAAGAAGCCAGCAGAAACAGGAGGTCTGTGCCTGAGAGCTGGCAGGTGACCATCCCCAGTGTGCTTCTGGGACGGGCGCAGAGCTGCCGGACTCTGGAGTGGGTGTGCTATTACCACAGCGTTTTCAGTTGCAAAGGGACAGTCCTGCTTTCCTGTGCTCAAGCCCTTCCCGGAATGGCTGCCCCCGTGGGGATTTTCCCAGGAAAGCATTGGAGCTTTTAATGCTTTCGTGACACAGTTGGGTCCAAAATGATACAATCAAGTCGAAGTTGACTGACTGGAGCGAATAGTGCCATTCGGGACACAGCTCCACCCATCACCCAGCACTGTGGCGGGGCACTGAGGCCGTGGGGAGGGTAACAGCATTTTAGGGATTAAAGGGCCACATCACATATGCCATAGAGCAGCGTGTAGCTCGTGGTGAGGGTTGGAAGTGACCTCCGAGGACTATGAAGGAGCAGAGATGAAGGCCAGAGCAAGAAAAGTGTTCAGCTTCCATCTCTGGGGGCCAAGTGGCAGGAGGGGCAGGGTGAGAGGCTGGCTTGGAGGAGCTATCCCTAGGAGTCCTGTGTCCATCTCATAGCCCAAGTCAATGCTCATGTCCATTTCATCCTAACCAGTGCTTTTGAAGGCACTTACTCCTTTTTCTAAATATCGGATTTTCTTCCTAGAACTTTAAAATGCTATGGGATCTGATTCCTAAGCTCTTTGAAGTGTATTATCTAAAAGTGACCAATTTCCTACAAGCTGTCAAAAAACCCCAACTTTCTTCACCCTGTATCTTTCTGGTCTGTGTCTATCCTAGTTGTAGAGGATAGACAGAATCTTGGAGCTTTATGAGCAGCCCAGGCTCTTGGCAGAAAAGCAGCCCCTGATATGAGGCTTCCCAGGGTATCTGCTGGGGGCTCCGTTCTATTCAAGCTGAGATACAGGAAATGAGTGCCGTCTTCGGTACTCACCAAAGTCACATTTTAAAGTGCTTCTTCGAGACAGTGTTAACAGTTCTCTCCCTCACACAGAAATCGTCCCTCGAGACCTCAGGATGAAGGACAAGTTCCTGAAGCATCTCACAGGTGAATGCCCCCCGCCCCTCTCCCCTCCATGCTCTCAGCCAGAGTCTGACTTCCTTCTTCCTCCTGTGTTCCAGGTCCTCTCTACTTCAGCCCCAAGTGCAGCAAACATTTCCATAGGCTGTACCACAACACCCGAGACTGCACCATCCCGGCATGTAAGTGAGGCCCTGCTCCCCTCAAACTCCAGGGTAGGACCAGGGATCTGGGCCATGATGCCCTGACCTGGCAAGACAAACAGGCTGTGTCAGCCAGTGCCACCCTGAAGTCTCACTCTCTGGAACGAATGGTCATTCCTTGGAATTAACCAGCTCTGGGAATGGGCTGAACTCAGTGCACATTCTCATTTTGTTTATGAACTCTGGCAGGGCGCCCATCTAGCTCTGCTCACTGTGAGGATCACACAGGATAGGAGGGAGCTGCTGGTGTGCCTGCTGCTACACACAGCACCTAGGTAGATTCGATTTAGCCTCGAACTTTATGGCCAGATTGTTTTGTCCCTCTCCACTGTGCTGACTAGGAGCTTTGTTTTTCCATCAGTGATAATAACTCATCACCTGGGAATTTCACTTGCTATTTCTCAGTCCTTCTCCACCCATCCTCAGCCCAGCTCTTTCACAGAGGCTTTTCTTTCTCTGCGGTGAGCTTCTGGCTGTTTATCCATAACAAAACATTTTATGTCCCCCAAAGTGGTTCCTTGTGCACTTCATAAAACATCACTCGGTTTAAGGTTCGTAAGAGAAAAGCCAGACAGGCGCACCAGGAATCCACTCACTGCTTTCAGAGACCACCCGAGTCTGTGGCCAAATCCCAGGCCAGAATGGCCCATGCCAGTCTGCATGAGGTCTGAGCTCTTCCTGGGTTTAGGCAGCGGGTGCTCCGAGCAGTAGAACCTATAGTTCAGAGCCGTGTCCTCTGTGGCAGGCACATCTCCAGGCACAATCAGGACACCTTATTGAACGGCTCACCAGCACTTTCCAGGCCACAGGACCAGGCAAGCACATACTCCCTGCAGCATTTGGTTTCCTCCCACCCTTTGCACACACCTGTAAACTGGTGCACATTACCTTTCTCCCTTTTTTTCTTCTGTTGAGAATTACTATAACCTGCTTCCCGGGACCAGAGAACCTATTGTTTAAATGTGTATGTGTTTTCCATTAAATATCATCTTACAATAATACTACAGGAGTACAAGTTCTAAATGTAAAAGTGACCTCCAATCCTGCACCTCACCTCTCATGCACAGGTGAGGTTTAACTTGCTCCTGTGCTGAGGGTCCAGCTCTCCGCAAAGGCCTTTTCTAGGACACTGTGCTGTCCTACATTTGCTACCTCCTTTTTCTCAGAGTGACTTGGCTACAAGATACCAAGACTGGTCCCAGCTCGCCCTAGGACCTGGAAGTCCTAGGCAGAAGTGGAAGGCTGGCAGGTGTGTGCACTAGACGCATGGCTGCTTCCTCCTACGCTGGGCCAATAAAGAGCTGAAATGGAACACTGCCTGGATGCTTCAGGCCCTGGAATCCTGGACTGCTAGAGCTGAGAGGAACCTTGGAGCCAGGGGAGCTTGGCGGAATGCAGATGTGAGCAACAGAATTTGCATTTTGGCAAGATGCTCAGGAGTCCACATGTCCACCTGCACAGGATGGTCTGAGGGTACCGACAGAGACTGATGGATTGAGTGCAGTGGGGAGTGACCAGGATCTCTAGACATGATACAAATGGGAGCAGTTACAATTTGCTGAGCTCATAATCCACAGCACCCACGGTACTTTATCTGCTTAAGAAAACTGCATTTCAAAAAGCCTGTTGGGGGCTGGAGATTTAGCTCTGGTTCCGCCACCTGCCTCGCAAGCGCAAGGACCGGAGTTCGATCCTGGGTAACAACAACAAAACTATGGAAGGAGGGGCAATAGAGCAGGAATCCAGTGACCAGCTACCAATAGTGACATCATTTTCCCCCTTTGAACCAAATGATATGTGCTTTGAATACCAGAAGGAAGATTCTCAGGAGTAAGGTTAGCTTCCTGTCTAATGTCTGTGCAGATTTGTCACTGTCAGTTTACTCAGGATCTCAGTGGAGCATGAATGGCTCTGTAAAGCATGATTTTATACGCTGAGAAATAACCTTTAGTGATTCACAAACAAGCACAATTGTGCAGAGAACTCTATCCTGAGGGAGTCCCTTAAGGCTGTGGCCACTAAACCTTACCGCGTATCTTCTCTGAGGCAGTTCCTGGCACAACAGTGGGATGGGAATTATGTACAGTGTCAAGGCCAGCAGTCTGCACTCCGAAACCAGCTTAATTCCATGTGCAACACCACAGAAAAAGAAACTAACTTTTTGCTTCCTCATCCTGTCCAGTTGGCCTCTCAGCTACTTTTGACCTGTTCTCTTTAGAACATCAATGCAGAAGTCTTGGTGTCATGGTCGCTGCAGGTGGGGACTCAGGCTGCATGTGACCCAAGAGTTAAATCACAGGGTGTGGAAATATTCTGCCTCCCTGGGGGAAACACTGGAGGTATTTCCCAGAGCCCAAGAGTCACACAGCAGAAAGCAGCTGCAACTGCCCCTTCACAGCCCTCACAAGTCACCTAACTTCTGTTTGTGATGCTAACGTCGCTAAAGAATCATAAGTTATTGAATCAACAATTTAGAGGCCTTGATTGCAGATGACAGACTCTGTATTGCCTCCAGGAAATTCAGTGTATTTCAAAATAAATAGTGAGAGCAGTTGATAAGCTTTAAAAAAACCCCACTGTTTATTTTATTGTTTTCACATAACTGACAAGGGCCTGTGATTTATTTTCTCTGCAGACTATAAAAGATGTGCGAGGCTTCTTACCCGGCTGGCCGTCAGTCCCATGTGCATGGAGGGGTGAGGTAAGCCTCAGCAGCTGGTGGGCCACACAGCAAGGTCAGAACCAAATGAGATGTAAGGAACTCACGGGAGTTTAGAAATATTCATTCTTTGGCTCAGGTAGCCTTTCTCCGAGCCTGCATGTATCTGAAAACGGGCCCTGGTGTAAGGCGCCCCCTGCTGGAGATCAGAGCCAGCCAGCGATGTCCTGCGTGCTCGGACTGCAGCTCAACTCTGTCCTAGCATAGGCTCAGCAGGGTAAAGTGGCAAGAGACAGTAGCCCTGGTTGTCAGGCAGATTTGGCCTGCACAGCCCTCTCCCTCCCCGCACCACCCATCCATCTGACAGGAGGTGTTGGCAGTGTGTGCTCACAGCTCCTGCACCCAAAGGCCACCTACTTGACAGTCACTGCTGACACAACTATCACAGGGTTCATTTTGACCAAGAAATGGGTGAAGTTTAATACTGACATTTCTGATTAAAAAGTTTCATAACTAATGTTTCAAAGATGTAATTCTTTCCATTCTAAAAGTTTTAAACTGCAACTGTAAACTGTTATCCAGTGGGTGACCAGTACAGGCACAAGCCAGGCTTCTCTCACCTGACAAGTTAGCTCGGAGAGCAGAGCACTGTGCCAGCACGCCCACCTGGGCAGTGTGCACACCACCCTGGGCACAGGTCCTGCTGCCCTGCCACTGCTGTGCCCAGAACCCTGTTCTGACTCAGGTGACAGGGTCAGATACCTCCCCAGCTCCAGCCCAGAGCCCTTAGAAGCTAAGAGCAGGCTGCGAATCCATGAGCAGCCCCCTATCAGACCCCTTAGATCCTCGAGGAAGGTGACATTCCCCAATATCCCAGACACTCACTTATGGGTCTCACAGGCCAATTAAATGAAACCCAGCTCCAGTGCATTCCTAATCAAGTATAGTTCTGAGTAATTAGTACCTACCTAGCTGGCTTTGTTTCCTGGGCACAGCCTCATAACCTCGAAGTAAGCCTTGTAAAAATAAAGGGTGATCAGTATTGAGACATGGGTGCTTAAGTTGACTAAACAGACGGTGAGCTTTGCTGAGCCTTGCACACGTGGAGGTAAAGAACTGCCCCCCACACACACCTGAGGCCTCTGCTCATGAGACTGAGCAGTGCCTCTGTCCACTCTCCCACAAGCATTAACATGCGAGCGGGGAGTTTGCTGGTGTGTAACAGCTGCAGAACTGCGTGCACTTTTTTCTCAAATCAGCTAGACTGGCTTTCCGCAGCACGCGAGGCTCCCGAGTTGTAAGTTTGTAAGGCTGTTTAGCTGAGTGCAGAGCTGCTCCGGGACTGGTGCTCCAGAGTGGGAGTGACATGACATGGTCTACTTTCAGCTGCAGGGAGCGCGCCTGGAGCCCTGAGAAGTGCCTTGACCACCGGAGACGGGACTGTACACCCACCCTGGGGACAGAGATTTATTTTTGCAGACAGACTCCTCCACAACCCCTTTGGACTGTATGTTGTCGAACTGTTTGCAGCTAAATGTTCAGTCAGCAGATCTGACGGTGGTACTTGCCACTCTTCAGTATAAAACTGAAAACTCCACATTTGACGTACAGTGCTATACAATACGAGTACTTCATTTTCCTGATTAGGTGAAATCACAAAATATTTCTTTAGAAACACAGGCAGAATCTTGAAACTATATTTTCATATAGCATATGATTTGATATTTTGTATTACTTTTACAATTAAACTCCCAGAGTATTATGTGGAACTGCATGAAAAATTAAAAAAAAAAAATCAGTCATATTTTGCAGACAGTAGAGTACATATCAGTGAAGATACCCATGCAATCCCATTTGTCCTTTGTATAATAAAGTAGCATTCCAGCTATTGTGCAATATGTAAATACTGTAAAGAAGTACAAATAATAAATGAAGTATTTGTTATAATCAATGGTTTTGAGTGACTCTGCCTCTCCAACAAGCATTCATGACTTACACATCCACCAAGAGACCGTCACACTAGCAGAATGTCATAGAACTTTAAAGGCACAAGCAAAAGAAACCCTGTGGCTAAGAATCACTCTAAGGGACAATCAGTGTTTCTTAAATCTCCTAAGACAGCATGGCCAGATTTGGCAATAAATATCCCAAATAAGGTTGAATCTGCTATTTCCCTCATTATGAAAAACCAAACTAAGACCAACCTCAAGGCTTCTAAGCAGTCCAAGTATCAATGGGTGTATATATTTTAAACACATTCAACAGGATCTGACCTAAATGGTCAGCCAAGAAGTGGTTTCTGCTCATACAGCCCTTGTGAGCAAGGGCTGTCTGGTACAGTGGTAAGGACACAGTGGTCACGAGCCCTATGGCTTATGTGAAGCTCTGTACTTAAGATACATACATAAACATCAAAGAAAACCAGAGGACTTCAGTTACAAACATAACGGCCTTGGGCCTAGGAGCAATTGCTGAATGATGAAGCCACTTGCACTCTCCTTTATCCTGTTTCCTAAATGTGGCCAGGCACTTGAGCATGTCTTCTCACTTCTTTGTCTGTGGGGACACCACCACCACCTTCCCAGGCCAACCTCCTGTTTTCTGAGTGCCAGTAACTCAGCCAGGAGCCAGGCGGTGTTCCTCAGGACACGGAGGCCCTTCTGAGGGAAGTGTGCTGAGAAGGCCACATGTCCTCTGGGCCTAAGGGTCACCGGCCCCTGGCCTCCTCCATCCTCATTCCCCTTAATCTTCTGCCCCTCTGGTAACGAGCCACTCAGCCTTTGGATGAGGATAGATTTCTTTTGACTAAAAGCCCTCCAGGACTTAGAGGTTACCTGCTCTGAATGGAAGATCTGGATGGGGTAGCCATGGGCTAATTTTCACCATTTCATTTTTTAATACTGAGACTAAATAGGGAAACGTAACACCACAGATCATTTGAAAGGGACAAAAGGCAATGTTCTCAAATGCTTCTTTATTTCACAATAAAAAAAAGGAGGGAGATGCTAGATGTATCTCAGTTGTACTTTATAACTTCTCAGTTTATCTTGAGAGCAATCTTTTCTGATACCCATATGAATGTGAGAATGAAATGAAATGATTTATATTTGCCTATAACTTTACCATATCAGTATTTAAGCAATCATCATAAGTTTTTCCAACTTTCTAACTTATTTTTAACTCTGAGGCAGTCTGTATTGACATCTAGATTATATGTGCATATACAACAGACAGACCCTCAAGTGCTCAGAAGATACACTGCTTGCAATTGTTCTTGTTGGACGGGATTAAATTTTTTAGAGGAAAGTAGTTTAAGTGGGAACAAATAAGCAGACCTTCTCATGAAATAAGATAGACAAAATCAACAACTACTAAACCAACAATTCCACTAATCTCTTTCCAATCTTAAATACAGGTATGATCAAAATATACAGTGAATGCTTAACTTTTAAAAATTATTACAGTAAGACACATTTCCATGAATCCCCTGCAAAATACTCTCCATAACTTCACAGTCCTACCCCAAGTTCTTGCCCTTCTGAAGCAGTCCTTTACAAAGTGTGATCAGAACTATAGTGAAGGCTGAGGTCAAGCGCAATCCAATGGAAAGGCAGCTCCCAAAAATACGAGTGTGTGTGTCCTCACTGTGGGGCTTCTGGCTCACCCCAAAGTCAAAATAGCCATGAGAGAGAAACGTTTTCAATCGATTCAGGACAGCAAGGCAGCCAGGACAGTTCAACTAAAGACACTCAGGAAAGACGACTTCCAGAAGTACTCTTCAAAGTGGCAAGGATGGTGGGATAAGTGTGTCCAAAGCAAAGGGGAGGATTTGGAGGGGAATTCGTGGCAATGTGTCTTTTCTTGTAAAGCTTTTAATGAAGTTTAAACATTCACTGTATTTTTTGATCACATGCATACAAATGTGTACAGTGAGTGTGCATGAGCTACAGCACTGCTATGTCGGTGAAGGGCTGCTGTGACTGGTAGAGGACAGGTGGAGAGTACACAGGTGAGCTGAAGGCACTGTCCACATTCCCTCCAGGTAGCACAGACTATCCAGGTCCTCCCGGGCTAAGAGGCTGATCGGTCATTCCAAAGAATGACCTTTGGGTCATACTTGCTCCATTGTGCTCTGTTTGGCTGTTCTATACTTGCTTGTTTCACTGTTTTACAAAGAGGCAAAAGTGGGACATTCAACTAGTCTAAGAACACTTACTGTACCCCATAAACATCAAATCAAGCATGTGTGTTTATTCTTCTGTAAGTAGAGCAGATTTGTACCTACAATTATTTGTAAGAGAAGAAACGTTAAGTCATCTGGAGAAACAGGTGGGGCCTGGGGCTTGAGCACAGGAGTAAAAGGGCAGAGCTGGCTGGGGCAAGTGTGGGCCAGTGGAGGGTCCTGGCCAGCCCTAGCAGGCCTTCTCCAGGAAGGCTTTGCAACACCGGACACACTGCTGGTACACCAGCTCGAAGTCAGACTCATTCCCCTGAAAGGACAGGAAAAGAAAGCTAAGAGACCTGAGCCTGCCATTCGATACGTGTGACAAACCTGCTGGCCTCTCCATCAGCCCCCACCGCAAACTGTACTTACATAATAGGGGTCTTCTATGATGAGCTGTTTCTGTGGATCATAGCTTCCAAGCAGTTCAATTTTAGCTTTGCAATTCTTAACTTGATTGCTTTTTCTATTCAAATCTCTGAAAAATCGAAACATGAACTTAGTTTTCTGATCTATGGTTTCAAGTTAAACAGGGACATCTGCTAAGGGTTTATGAAACATCCATATCAAAATCCAGCCAATGTGGCCTGACTCAAAATGAAAGAGAATTCTCTGCAGAACCACAGAATCCTTCATGTGGCCATGTGCCACAGCTCTGTCTCAAGAGACACGGTCTTGTGATTCTGTCACACAAAACACATGATATTAAGTCAGACAATACTGATGACTTCTGCAGTGAAGTACATTCTGAAACAATCTATCGAAAAGATACTGCTTCCGAGACAAACAGGGTGACATAACTTGGAAAGCAACGAGAACGAACCCTGAGACAAAGGGCCCCGATTTCTTCCTAGCCTGTGTGCTGACACATATTTACTGCAGCAACCCTTGCTACTTACTCACCCACTTCTTTTACCCGCAAGCTTCTGCCCAGGCTGAAAGCTCCACTCTACTCTCACACTGCTGTCGAGGGCAAAGACACTCTGATTGCCCTCCATGTACCTCAGAGTTCCCACTGGGCCCCCATGATGTGTCAGGCAGGAACCAGAGGTGCAGCCAAGAGCACATGGCACAGGAAAACGCAGAGCCATCCAGCTTAGAGACAGTCAGCCCAGGCTGCAGGGCAGCAGAACCGGGCCCCTGCAGCAGGGAAGCGCTTCTGGCAGAGGCACAAGTGTGTAGAGGCCAAGGGGACCCAGCTCAGCTAGTGCACAGGGAAGCATGGCTCCTTCAGTGTGAGGGTGTCAAGTGCACAACAAGATATGTTTATATCTACAAGCTATGGTACAAGTGAGAACAATGGGCACAAAGCAAATTAAATGAAAAACAAAAAGAATGAGTTTAACAACAGGCCAAATTCAAAAATATGCAAAACTATCACAACTGTTTCTGTTACTCCTACGAGTAATTAACAGCACAGAGAATTAAGAACAACAGGGACCACCTATGCATTAGAAGCCACGCAGGTTAACAAATGCTGCAGCTACACTGAACAGAGTCCCAGCAGCAGGCGTGAACGCCGGCGCAGTGGGCAGGGTGGGCACGGGCAGGAGTCAGAGCTGTAGACTCGGCCCCCACAGCTACCTGATACTGTGAACCTAAGGGTGTAGTTTAAGCTCACTGTTCCTCAGTTTCTTCCTTGATAACACATGAACCCAGCAATGAAGTGCCAGGGCACAGGGCACACAGCTGGGCACCAGGGAATCGCTCTTCATAAACTCAACTGCAGTGAGCAGCCTCCTGTCTTGCCAGCCTCACATGGGCTGGGGGCAGCATTAAGGAAGGAACATGCTGAGAAACAAGTCCAGGAACTGTAACACAGTAAGGAAATCACTCATGCAGTACAAGTGCATGCATCTCCTAGGACTAGACAACAGCCTCCAGGTCTATCCTCCTAACTGCTTTCCCTTCCCCAGGGGCGCCTCCCTGTAAACAGACCGAGGCACCACCCTAGACTATTTTCTGAGTCCCCACCCCTCTGAACAATGCTGCATGCTGGAACCATCACCGCGGTGCCAGCCAGCACATGGCCTGCAAATGACTGAGCTGAGCAGGACAGCAGCTCGCAAAGAGTGATCACCTCAGATTGCTTTCGTCCATACACAGTATGTAGTCAAATTTTGCGAAGTCCTCTTTGGTGACCTGAAATTGAACAAGAAATCAAAACATAGCATTTGTACCATTCATGCCTAGAGAATCTAGAGCAGCAGTAGGAAAGAAACACCATTTTATCGAAGCTTGTTACACCAAGTATTTAAGTAATATAATATACTATATATGGGCACTTTTAAGTTAAAATACAGTCAACCCGTTTCCCAAATCACATTGCAAAGAAATTTTGTACCATAAAGTGCACAAAATAAGGTAATATGTGGACATGAAATCCGTCTTCAGTTGCAGCCCCTCGAGGTAGGAAATGCACTGCTTATGGGACTGAGCAGCCCAGGGATGGCCACCTGCACAGCCACAGCCACAGGCCTGACCTGTGGAGCTGCCTGTACATGCAGGAGGCAGAGAAGACACCAGGACTGGGGAGGGAGGAAGGTGGCCAGAGAAGCCTCCCAAGGAGCAATGAGGGCAGCAAGTGAATCCCTGGCTCTCTTTACTCTGCCTGAATCTCACACCTCACTGACACAGAAGAAAGGGCCATCCAGGACTTTTCCTGATTCTAACCTGAAAACTTCCTGTTTTCGAACACTGCAATTAGAAACGTGAGCCTACTTTAAATATATTGTAAATTTTGACCATGGTAAATGAGAGGAAGAAAAAAAAAATTATTCACACAGTGCAGAATAAAGGGGAAGGAAATAAGTTAAATAACCTTCTCCACCGAAAAATCCTCTAAAGTACTATAAAGTAAAACTACACAAGAGACATTGAAAACCTGGCTCAAGGATGGGAGGTTTTGGTAGACAAAGAATGAAGAAAAGGAGCAAAAGACATGCTCGTTACTCATACTGTTAAAAGGGAGAAATCTTATCCTCCCAGTGTAGCACTTAGATAAATACAAAGGATACTAATGTATTAACATCCTAAGACACTAACATTTAAAAATCCACTAGTACAAATACTATAATATTAAATATAAATACTACATACATTTTTCCAAATTAGTTGGATGAGAACTACCCTGGAACTTAGTATTAAACATTGTTATTTTGGACTGATTGTACTTAAATTGTGCTGTAACTTACTTCGTCAAATCATACAAGATTTTAAGATGTTAAAATAATTGAGAAGAGAGTAACTATGATTTACATAGCATACAGAACACTCAGTGACGATTTCTGCTTGCAGCTGGCCACCAAATGGCTGTGGCCAATCATCCCCATGACCAAAAACAACTAGAAAACCACAAAAAAGCCAAAACACTCTCCAAAGTCCTTATGCTTCTGTGGTGACGTGGCCTTGGGGGCCACAAGGTCTCCCCGAAAGTGCTCTGCTTGCATTGGTGGCAGGAACACAGCCAGATACAGGCACTGATGAGGTCCCACCCTCACCCTAACCCTGTGCACAAAAGGGTGCGGGCCTCCTGCTGAGTTCACCAGGCACAGATGGGCCTCAAATTTTACAAGAGCTCTTTTAGCCCTAAAAACTATTTGAGACCTGCTGCAAATGACCCGTCACAGGGGTTTTATCTACCAATATTTATCACCATCATTATAGCTGAAAAATACCTAAGCCTAACTCATTTTAAAATAATGTAAATTCATCATCTGTTAGCAAGACTTTTCCATTTTTTAATAAAAAACAACTATACTTTCAAACTAGGAGAGTGCGACTGTTTCAGAAGGGTTCCCTGAATACACCCGCACTCCACTCCACTGTGCAATCTGCTGTCTGAGCCAAAACACGTGAGGCAGACCAGAGCGTTTCGCAGCCCAGGGAAGAGCCCAGGAATGCTCTTCACTGACACCACACCTCACAGCACATCCCGCCATGGTGCAGAATCCAAAGCCTGTCGACAGCTTCCCGGAGCGCTGTCCTACTCAGGCTCCTGATCAGTCAGACCCAGCCGGATCTCTAAGGATCTTCTACTTCTACTTAACTTGAAGGACCACACTTTGAGAACTGCAGTTTAAAGGGTGGGAAGGGTTCTCAAAGGAAAGGACAGTAAGAAGTGCAGGGGACATTCTCACTGTTCAACAGGGGCTCTTGCACCAGGTGGAGCACTGCCAGGTCCGCCAAAGGACAGCACAGCCCCACATAGAGAATGATCAGGACCCACATGCCAACGGCACTGAGGTGGTGGTGGCAGCCTGCTTGGGAGGAGACCTAGGCAGAGGACCACAAGGACAAGCAGGACAACAAGTGACTTGCAATAGGTTGGAGGACGAGCCTTGGAGGGCCATGTATCCTCAGAAGAAGGGTGCCCCACATGCTTCCTCCTCACTCCTTAGCCAGGTCCTCCACCTACTAGGTCAAGAGGCTCCAGAGGCGTCCAGTCCACTGCACACCTCAGACTCTCAGTGCTCAGGGATGGCACATGGAGCAGACAGAGCAATGCTCCCCGAGGCTGCAACCCAACCGTGCCCAGGCAACCTGGCTCCTCCTATGGTGAACCAGTTCAGAAGCAAACACAATCACCCAAGGCTCAAGTCGTTCACCCATGTCTCTTCTCAACCCCAGGAGCACAGCAATCCAATGAACAGAGATGAAGAAAGAAGGCAGACTCACAAATGACCACATGTGTCATGTATGTAAAGCAATCGTGCTGGCGTGAAAGCAACAGACTACAGAGGGTAAGTTTCATCAGAAACTACACCTACAAAAAAAACAAGCAAAACATAAAGCAGTAGTCAGTAAAGTAACATGCTAAGAAGTCAGAGAACATTTCCAAGACCTTGAAAACAGCAGTAGGATAGATACATCAGGAAAGAGGTTAACTGTAAATGGCAGACCAGGAACAGAGCAAAACCATAGAAAACAGAAAGGAACGTAAGAAATGTATGTTCAATATACACAGAAGTTGCTCTCAGAAGAAAAGAGAAGTACAATATGAAAACAGCCCTGAATTTTCCAAACCTGATGAAAATCATAAGGCCGCAGTTTAGGAGGGCGACACAGGCTCTCACCTTGAAGCTGACACTGAGCACTCAGCTCAGGTAGTCAGAGGATGGGAGCAGTTTCAGAGACAATTCACCAGATAAACTCTTTCGAACAAAGGCAGAAATACTATCACTCTCTACAAACCTGAAAGAACAGAAAAAGAGGGAACATTACCAGTGCATTTCATGAGGCTGCCAACCCTGACAGGGCACAGGACCATGATATAGACCCTGAGAACCACACAGCCTGTGCACTGCCACCCATGCTGCTCCAGACTGGAAACCCCGTGTCCAGCAAGAGCAAAAGAAGAGCGTGAACCACGAGATGATGCAGCAGCCGGCAACAGCACTGAATTGTTGCGAAAAGCATTGAGCAGAGAAATCTCACAGTAAACACAGCTCACAGAAAAGAGCAAACAAACGCCAGTCCCCGCCCCTTCACAGAGGAAAACAGAACCAGCTCAGGATGACCTCTTCAGGAGGGGCCAGGGCTGCTGAGGGACTTTAGAGCTGCACTGAAAAATTTACTAGAAAAAGGAAGGTACAGGTAATAAAGATCTCCACCCAGCTGAATGGACCACGAGCTCACAGCTCAAAGGACTGACTGCAGGAGTTGAAAATAAAAACTCCAAGGCAACGTCATTTATTAAACCCAGGCCAAAAGTACTAGAAAAATGAGGATTTTTAAGAAATAGAATAGTTATATAAATTGTGACCATAGTGAAGAGCCTGTAAACATACGAAAGATTTGATATGATACTGATATGTAAACACTAATACTCTGAAGTTAAAAAAATAAAAATATTGTAGAGATTTTTATAAAAACAGTAACAAAAAATCAAGAACTAGATTCTGTGAAAACAGTACTTGCAAGGCTGGTAATTAAAATTGCTCCTAAAACTGTTTCTAGTTTGTTTTTACAAGTCATGTGTATTTAAAATACTCCATTTGCATCCACTTTTATTACACACTTAGTGTATGAAAATTCAACCTTAAAATCAGATTGCTTAAAATTTTGAAGAGTCGGGACAAACAAATGTATATCCCTCAAGCAATGGCAAGCAAAAACTGGCACTGTATGAAAGAGCCTGAAGAGATCTGAATGAGCAAACAATTCAGAAATTTAATCTTTTATGAAAGGGTCAAGTCCTTAAGTGCTTCATTTATCTGAAGAATGGTGAGAAACACAACTGTATCTTCTGATTCATAACACAAGTGCAAAGCTACCTTCATCTGACGTTGAAGGGTATGTCACTACTCCAGTAGACTTCAAACACAAGTACAGCACGACTGTAATTAGTTGTCCATAAAAACACCAATATTACCCTACATTTCTAAGGCCTTTTACAGCTGCAAAAGTTTTTTCTTTTTAAACACTATGTGACTTTCTTCTAACAACAATTTTAATGTAAGTAGAAGAGTTACCATCCCTGACTAACAATATGTAACAGAATGGAGACCAAGGCTAAGTCTAGCACCTGGCCAGGGACCTCACTGTGAATTATGCAATTTCAGCAAGTCTTTCAGAACTGCACATGTGGACGATTAGTTCCCCCAATAAACACACAGGCCCAGTCAGTCTCTCACAACCTCTTAAGTTATGGGCCTCTAAGTAATAGAAATTAAGATCTCTTCTACCTGTCTTGCCTTATGGGCTGTACTAATGCCATGATTTCTTAGGCAGCTCACAGCTCTTGGGTCCGGGGCCCGGCCCACGTTCCAGTCGGAAACAGCACCGCTGTCAATGGCCCACTGTAACACAAAACACAGGTCAAATTTAAGTACAATACCTGCCGGGCAATGTGACTCATGGGGATGCCATGCTTCTTCATGCAACTTTGCCCTCGATAGTCAGGGGGGTTTCCCACTTCATATGTAGATGTGGCTGCACTGTCTATCCTCCACTGCAGGAGAAGAAAAAGAAGGGTTTCGGCACTTTCCTGGCCAAGGTGTGCAAGCTGGCCTCTTCAACGTAGTGAATGGTACTTACGTTATCGGAAATGTTTTGATCAGTTACAAGTTTTCTGAAAACTGCTTCTGCAATGGGTGACCGGCAAATGTTACCTTAAAGAGAAGGGAAAGGTCACACAGAGTATCAGCTGTGATGGAAAGATAGAGCCGACCCCCAGCATGAAAAACTGCTGAGCCACTGCACACACCTGACTGGCAGTGGCTGTATGTTCCCTGAGAAAAGCAAAGGCCAGTGCTGTGAAGCAGGCAGATCTGGGGAAGAACAGCCAACCAAACCCAAGTTTAGTTATCAGACACCAGCTGTTCAATTACAAGAAATACTGCCAATCAACCAATCAATTTGATAGACTGAAAATACCACCAAAGCTCTCTAAGCAGCCATGCTGGCCAGGCCACACAAAGGTCAGAGTGGCCTTCCTCGGGAGCGGTCTTACAGAGCAAAACGCTCTCTTCAGAATCTTCCTCTTGCCTACCACTGACAAACTTCTGCTTCTCTTCATGCCAGCCTCAAAGTCCAAATGAATGCTCTGAAGGAATAAAACACCTACATTTCAAAACACACAGCTGCAAACATACTCTGGGTAGACTATCCCATGGAAGCGTCCTCCCGCCTTCAGCTCTCTCTAAAGCTCTAATCTCAATACCACAGCTGGGACTGGTGACTTCCCTACCACACTCTGCTGCAAATCTGCCAGGGCTTATCTCAAAGTAAGCCGTCTTCATATGGCCTCCCAAGATCTGCACCCAAAACTGGCCCAAAAATGAAGGTCCTTGACCCACTATTTTTGCACACAGCTCAGAGAGTAAAGAATAATTTTGTATGGCTTTAAATAGTTGACAAAAGAGCAAAACCAGAAAATCATACAATGCAGCAATATTGCATATAAGCTCAATATCAGCAGCTATAAAGTTCTCCAGGAACACAGCCAAGCTCCAGTATTTATGTGCTGTCTGGGGCTATGTTATTGGTTCTGCCCACAAAGCTATGTATTCACCCTGGTTGATCTGGGGTTTTTTTGTTTGTTTGTTTTAGAGACAGTCTTGCTCTGTAGTTCACGCTGGCCTTGAACTCACTATGTAGCCCAGGCTGGCCTCAAATTCACATCGAGCCTCCTGCCTTCTGAGCAATGGGATCACAGGCATGTGCCACCATACCTGGCTAAAGTATTCACTTGGTTCTTTTATAGATTGCAGATCCCAGTATGCAGCATCCACTCAGCGTAAGGAACTACCTTCTCCCCACACATCTAGAATGGCACTGATTAGGTTTCCATGGGAGCTGAAGAAATGGTCACTCAAATCATCAGCTGAGTCCTCAGGCACAGAGGAGATCGGCTGGCTGAGAAAGGATATCTGGTCTCTCAGCATACCCACATGCCAGAGCCCACAATACTGATTATGCCCAAAACATGATGTCAGCAGGTCAGGCTGCAAAGAGTTAAATCCCTCAATCAGCTTATTTTAAGAAGCGAATCTGAGGGAAGCATTTCATGAGCACTGCAGAGTGCGCAGGTCACTATGCCTCACTGCTAATGGCCACGGCCAAGACCAGAGTAACAGCCTATGAAGCTGTGGGGCTAACACGAGATAATGGGTAGCTTAGGTCGCATTAAATCGCACCCAAATTCCATTCTCACAATTAGTGCCTTCATAGCTTGAAGGATAGTGCTCCAATTACAACCATATATTTTGTCTGTCTCACTTCTACTTTGAAAATGCTTTGACTCTTCTCTTTAAAGCCTTGCCTGCATTGGTTTCCATGGTAATTGCATGTACCACACATCTATACACGTATTGCATCTTTAATCTCAATTAATGAAGAATAAAATTTGGTGAAAGCAACGGGTCAGTGCCTTCTAAGAAAGGAGCACTGGCCGTCGCAGTTCACACTTTCCCTTTAACTGTCTTAAGTTTTTCTTCAACCTTACATCGCATACTGCGCAGGTGGGGACTAGAGATTTACTGCAGGAGTCTCTGGCACCCATGTGGCTTCCTTATTCTGGAACATGGCTGGCACTCACCTCAAAACCATGTCCGCTGTCCTGGGGGTTAAGAACGGCTTGCCTCCTGACTCCTTCCTTGTCTGTACTCACAGGTCACCTTTGGGTAAATCCTTCCTCACCACACACCACATACCCCCACTCTGTCTCATTTTCAACACTTCAGCCGGCTGAACTCGCATACCAGGCACTGCCTGACTGATGACTGAGAGGACATGTGCTCCAGAAAGACTGGGGCTTTAACCCTGGAGTTCACTACTCTAAGCATTCCCAGTTACATAGCAAGTGCTCAAAAAACCTGCTTACTGTATTGAAGACAAATATATGCAAGCATACACTCCCCCAGGAACAACCAGTGTGGTTCCTCACGTTAGCAAAAATCAACAATACCAAGCAAAAATAAACACATCAATGGGCTACTAGGTATCCAACCTGAAATGAATGTTTAATATGTTGACTGCACCAGTTAGCTGCTATCAAAACCTTAAAAATCATGATACCCACTATCAACATAAAATAAGGTGAGCCTTGTACTTTTTCCTCATCACAGAAATTAACTTCTACAAATAACTAGTAAGCATTGTACACTACTGTTGCAAAGATTAAAAAAAAAAAGAAGTCACTGTTATTGCCTACAAGAAAGTTAGATCTCACTGGAATCTCGGCAGGCTGTCAAATAATTTATGGAATGAAATGTCTTTTTAAGAGGTCAAAGGAGGATATTAATGGTCTGGAAAAGCCAAGAAGGGGGTACCTGGGTTTGACTTTATAAAGTACAACCCATTGTGGTCATCCAGTAAAAGCTGACCATACAAGCTCAGGTGCAGTAAGTCTCTCTCGTGTGGGCCAGCAAGCAGATCTAGAAGGCAGCATCCACATACAGGCGAGAAAAGGTAAGGAAGGGACTGGGAGAGTTCCATCTCAAACAGAGTAAAAGCTTTTATTCTGTAGGAAATGCAAACTCGGCAGAAGACTAAATAATTAGAGCAGTGACAATTTTGTTTTTCCCCTAAAGGTAGAAATACTGAGGATGAACCCTAAAAACGACAAGGAAAGTGGATTCTACTTCGAATAGGGGGAATAGTGTTGAAATTCTAAGAATAAAAATAATACTGAGCAGAAACGTACGATTACTAAATTTTTAAAATTCACTTTTCATGTGGAGAAACAGAAATTGGCACATGGGCTGGAAACCAAGGTTACCGAGACACGTGGGGAACCAAGAACCTGGACTGGAGCCCCCCACCCATTAGCTGAGACACTGTTAGGTTTGGGTCAAGGACAGTAGCAAGCACACTAGTGGGGTTACTGGCTCGGAGGTGGAAGCCTGAAAAGATAACACCCACCCTGCAGCGTTGGTTCAAGTGAGCACAGTGGAAGGCCAGCTCTTGGGAAGACAGGAGGTGAGGGACCCAGGCGCCAGGCCCATCCAAAGCCTCCTGCCGTGGCCTCCTCCATCTCTCTGTTCCCGACTAACAGTCCCGCCCAGAGTAAACGCGGGACACATCAACTACCTGGGGAGGTTAACTCGGCATCCTCTTACCCAGACACACGAACAGCACTGACTTCAACCCGGATTCCGCCATGTTCCCACGCGGTCACCGGCGCCCAGCGACAGCGTCTGTGCGCCCTGACGCGGCACAGGCGCACTGCGAACTTCCAGCCTCTGCGCCTGCGCAGTCGGCGATTTAGCGCCCAGCTAGAGGCAGAGCCCCGGGGTTAGCTGAAGGCGGGGAGGAGGCGGAGCTGTCAGTTATCTGAAGAGCGGGGTGAGGCTTGAAAGGGAGGGGGCAGTGACTCACTTCAAGCCTGGCAGGATAGAACCGGACCGGAGGGCGGGACCAAAGGGCGGGGCGGGTGTCACCTGAGGGTATGAGAGGCCGAGGCGGTCAGGATAAAGAGCCGGGGCCGGAGAGCGTGGCTGATTCCGAGTGGGCGGGGTTTCG